TCGACGCGTTTCAGAAAGGCGGGGCATAGAGGAGAAACAATAATGTACAGTATGTGGAAAATAATGTGTTTTTTGAACCTTAAACTACATAAACACATTTCATTACACCAAATACACAAAATAATGTTCTTTTTAGCAACATCATATGACCCATTTAATGACCTTCATTGAACTCATTCTGGAGCTTCTTTCAGTAAAACAACTGCACAGGTAATCACTAAGAGGCATACATGTAAACTCGGCATGGAAAATAAAGATTATGAAGCCAAACAGGAATTTATCCATCCATCCATATTCATAATAGGATGAAATGCACAGCTATACTTTATATAATTGTCATTTGCAGCATTAAAAATTATACTGAAGTGCTTCCTCTGTAATAATTTTTTCTCTCTGCTCTTTGTGTCATTAGTGTAAGATCAGACTCACATGTTTCCAGCTCTGTGTCTGTTAAGAGTGACCGTTCAAAAGATGGCATGCCAAACTTCAGTGAGAAAAATACATCATCTATCAAAAGGTATTTAATGTGTTTTACATGATAGCATTTCTTTTACAGGGGGACGTGATGTTCAGCTTTGTGTCTGTGAAGAATGACCATTCAAAAGATGACATGCCAAACTTCAGTGAGAGAAAATGTGGTCATACATAGAATGTGATAGAAAGTATATTAGTGAATACTTAATGTGAAACTTTTTTTTTTTTCATTTTTAGTTTTAGTTTTTTTTTTTTAGTTTAAATATATAAACTCTGAAAGATTTATCAGGGTATTTACAGCTATTTTTTTCGTTTCCTCATTGCTAAAATGTTTACAAGACATTTCTGTATTATTTTGCCTGGAAATGCAGTATTTTATTTTATTTATTTGTTAACAGGTCTCAGCATTCAGACTTCCAGATACACTGGAACAACAAGAATTTCGAAGACAATCTCCTAGGGATCTTCCATGTAAGAAAACACAAGTGTTTAATGTTTATAAACATGTTATTGAACACAGAAATTAATTTCAATTGTATTTATTTATTTATTTGTTTGTTTGTAGGATCTTGAGAGCAAAATAATGAAATTTCTGAAGAATGAGCTTAAGAAGTTTAAGAAAATATTACAAAAGGAACATTTGCAGTCTTTTGTGAAAGACTTTAATGACAATAGATGCAGTATCAAAGAAGCAGCTCTTGATCTCACACTCTACTTCTTGAGAGATATGAAACAAGATGAAGCTGCTGATACTTTAGAAGGTAAGAGACTCGTTACCATCTTTCATGCATTATGATACCATACATTATGAATGTATTAGAGAAAATTGACTGAAACTTTTTTTTCCTGTGTTTAGATAATCTTATCTTCATTCATCAGCTAAAATGTAGCCTGAAGAAAACGTATCAGCGTGTGTTTGAAGGAATTGCAAAGCAAGGTGACTCTACACTTCTGAATAACATCTACACAGATCTCTATATCACTCAGGGTTGTAGTGAACAGGTCAATACTGAACATGAGGTAAGACAGATTGAAGTTACTTCCAGACGTTCTGAATCACAAGAAATACCAGTTGATTGCACAAAGATGTTTGAATCACCTGAACAAGACAAGCAAATCAGAACTGTACTGACAAAAGGAGTTGCTGGAATCGGAAAATCAGTCTCTGTGCAAAAGTTTGTTTTGGATTGGGCTGAAGGAAAAGAAAATCAGGATATCAGCTTCATATTTCCTCTTCCTTTCCGAGAGATGAACTTAAAGGAGAAAGAAACACAAAGCTTGATGGACCTTATGACTCAGTTTTTCCCTGATACAAAAGGACTGAACCTTACAAGAAGGACTAATTTTAAAGTACTGCTTATCCTTGATGGTTTGGATGAATGTCGTCTTCCTCTAAACTTTGAGGGTAATGAGACGTGGTCTGATGTATCATCACCAGCCTCTCTGGATGTTCTCCTCACAAACCTCATCAAGGGAAATCTGCTTCCTTCTGCTCTCATCTGGATCACCACCAGACCAGCAGCTGCCAGAAAGATTCCTCCTGACTGCATCAAACGGAAGAAATCAATTCAAAGTCCTGTTCATTCTTGATGGATTGGATGAATGTCGACTTCCTGTAAACTTTGAGGATAATGAGACGTGGTCTGATGTTTCATCACCGGCCTCTCTGGATGTTCTCCTAACGAACCTCATCAAGGGAAATCTGCTTCCTTCTGCTCTCATCTGGATCACCAGCAGACCAGCAGCTGCCAGTAAGATTCCTCCTGACTGTATCGACCGGCTGACAGAGATACGAGGATTCAATGATGCACAAAAGGAGGAGTACTTCAGAAAAAGATTAATGGATGAGAATCTGGCCAAAGAAATCATTGCTCATGTTAAACAATCAAAGAGTCTCTTTATCATGTGCCACATCCCAGTCTTCTGCTGGATTTCAGCCACTGTTCTCCAGAACATTTTAGAGGAGAAAAGAAATAATGTTGTGAAAAACAATCAGGCTGATGATGCCTCCAAAACACTGCAGGAGTCAAATACTGAAGACACTCCTAAGACTCTGACACAAATGTACACACACTTTCTCAGATTTCAGATCCAGCAGAGCAGACGAAAGTATGATGGAGAATACACACCAGATGTTTCCTGGGATAAAGATGCCATTCTGTCACTAGGGAAACTGGCATTTCATCAGCTGGAAAGAAACAACCTGATCTTCTATGACACAGACCTGGAAGCCTGTGGTATTAACATCTCTAAAGCATCAGTGTATTCAGGCATGTGTACCCAGATCTTTAAGGAGGATACAGGGATCATTCTTGGTACCATGTACTGCTTTGTTCACTTGAGCATTCAAGAGTTCATTGCAGCCCTTTATGCACTGTCTCTCCAGTCCAATCGTCAACTCTTACGAGGTCCGTTGACTCAGCAAGACAGCAATGACCAGAGCAAAAAGGAAATAGTTCAGTACATCAAGCAGAAATTAGAAGCTAATCTGTCTCCAGAGAGATCCATCAATCTGTTCTACTGTCTGAATGAACTGAACGATCAAACTCTGGTAAAAGATATTCAGAACCACCTTAACAAAGGAAGACTGTCATCTTCTGATCTTTCACCTGCCCAGTGGTCTGCTTTGGCCTTTGTGTTGTTGACATCAGAGGAAGAGATGGAGGAGTTTGAGCTTCAGAAATTCAAGAAATCAGACGAGTGTCTCATTAGATTATCAGCAGTCATCAAAACCTCCAAAAGAGCTCTGTAAGTTATTTCATATATTTTGTCATGTTTTGTTCTACCTTTCACCTGCCCAGTGGTCTGCTTTGGCCTTTGTGTTGTTGACATCAGAGGAAGAGATGGAGGAGTTTGAGCTTCAGAAATTCAAGAAATCAGACGAGTGTCTCATTAGATTATCAGCAGTCATCAAAACCTCTAAAAGAGCTCTGTAAGCCATTTAAAATGTTCAATCATGTTATGGTTTAATTTGGAATATGCAATTAGCCACATTGCTCTATAGTGATTCTTTATCATACATTACATATAAAATATGTAAATATGTTTCATGCTATATTTTTTCTTATATCTATTTTTGGCTTGTTTTTATGAGTAAAGGGGAATTAAAGTGCAAAGCTAATTATTTATAAATTTTTATTAGCGGTGCCATCTTTACATCTATGTAGAAATGTATTATTATTTTCAAATGTTTTCAAACAGTTAATTGAACTTTTAGACAAAATATAAAAGAGGTGTAAAAAAGGTATTTTGCTTTGATATATCAGGATTTCATGGCCCATATAATATAACATATTAGCTCATAGTCATACTTGAGAAAGAAAAAAAAAGCGCATCAGTTTTATTCAAATTCCTAAACTAAAGAAAAATGATGTAATTTTATCTAAAATACTACACTACTATAAAAACAAAAATACTAATATACAGAAATTACTAGTTTTTGAAGAGATATGTTAGTGTGGCTCACCCTATTCATGTAAAATAATATAAATATACTAATTATAATATAAAAATTATTGTATATGTTCCACCTAATTCTGTGATGTGATTTATTTCCCCTGTAGGTTGAATGATTGTGACTTAACAGACAAGAGCTGTTCAACTCTGGCTACAGTTCTTGGATCAGATACCAGTCTGAAAGAGCTGAACATGAACAATAATAATCTGCAGGATTCAGGAGTGATTCATCTCTGCACTGGACTGAAGAACATACCGTGTAAATTGGAGATACTGAGGTAAGTTGTATGATAATAGACATTGAGCTCAACCAGAACTTGTAAGCTGTGTGGCAACAGATGATTTAGATATTTTTTACTCTTTAAAAATGTATAAAAATGTATTATTTGAATGTAACTAAATACACGGGGGTACTGGAAGCTAGGGCTGGATGATATGGCAAAAATTTATATCACGATATATTTCTTAATTTCGGACGATACGATA